AAATTAGTGGTAGCCTAAGAACTTTTTGGGAGTATAAAAATGTTCATTTGGCACTACTGATAACTTCAGTTATACAAATGTTAAAATTCCTCAGCTTGTAGACTTTAAATATGTAGTTACTTGTATATAAACTATACTTTTTGTAATGTTATAAAAAAAAACAAAATCCCCTTCATCAAAATGAGGCCTCATAAAACTTTTCTTATTCACATTTTTAACTGAATAGGATTTCTTCCTTTTTTAAAATCCCCAGGAAATTCTATTTACATACACATATTGGAGGTAACATGTAGTGTCTCTGATATAATGTACACTTCAATGTGTTTACACACTGAAATATTTATTCAATTCATAGCTAAAAGTACTAATGCAGAGTGCATGCCTTTCTTTGCTCACTTACACCTTTTCTTTAACTGAATCCCCACTATCTGACTCAGCTGAGAAACTGAGTCACAAATAATACGACAATAATCTCAGATATACATCCAGATGCACATATCCTGCCTAGAAGACTGACCTGTTTTCTTTCTCCATTTCTTCTCTATTTCTTCAGTTATTATCTGGATTAAACTTATTAGAATCACTTTTGAACATTTAATACAACTTAGCTCTTCACTTTAGGAAAAAGTAATGTCTTCTATCTCTGTATTCAGGAAAGCTGGATAATTGAGAATGATTTTTGTATTTTTGTTCAAAGGTCAGTATGTTTAGAATAATGAGTTCATATCATGATCTCTTACCTTGTTTTTATTCATGCTTCACCCTTCCTCAGCCTTGCTCTTCAATCAGAATATAAACTTTATGAGAGCAGAGAACGTCTGTTTAATTCACTGCTATTTCCCCAAAACTAGAATGTGTCTGCATGTAGCAGGCACTTAACGTTTACTAAATAGGCACTTAATGAATGCTGTCCTCTCTACCCTACCTCTTTCTACCTGAAAGCCAAGTCACATAACCCAGGATGCCTTTCAGCCCCATTAAGAAGTAATCTCTTGTTGCAGGTATGGTGGCACATGCCTGTAATCCCAGCACTTGGGAGGCTGATATAAGAGGACTGCCATGAGTTCGAGGCCAGCCTGAACTACACAGCAAGACCGTCTCCAAAAAAAAAAGTATCTCTCCTTTCTCTATATACAGTATTTTATACATTTTCTTCTAATACCCACTAATACTCTTCTGCAAAAATTAATGTATGTTATCATGTTTCATTCTTCTTGATATGCCCTACTAGGCATGTCCAACCCATAGCCCACCTTTTTTATGTGCCTTCTTAAAATATTAAAATGTAAAAGAGGTTTTGTATATCATTATTCTATCTGTGGTCCAATATAATTCCTCTTTACTCAGTGTGGCCCAGGCAAGCCAACAGGATGGACGACCATGACATCCTAACATAATGGCTGGAATATGAAATCTACAGAACAAAGATCTGCCAGATTAAAATGATACAACATTATACATAATTATATGTATACATATGTATACATATGGAAACCTGAGACCATGCTAATTTTTAAGAGAACTCTCATTCATCTAGCATATTTCAGGCTATTACCATCACAACTCCATCTACTCACTGTATCTTTTTGGAATGAGTATTTTGTGAAGAGTAATATCTTTTTAAAACTATTTTGATTCATTTCTCAATACTACATTCCATCAAAGCAAACCAATGTCCTTCATCCTGTACATTTTTATGCTTTCTACCTAAATCTTTCTACTCCTAAGTATCTGTACCCTAGCCTTAGGTTTTCATTATAGTTACAAGCATTCTTAATTATGCTTGTCTGTACTTCTTACTTACAAGTCAATCATGCATGCTGCTTTCTCCACATGGAATATCCTCTATCATTTTCTTTTTTTATGTAAAAAATCATTACACTTCTACAACAAAATCTGAAGTCTCATATCTCTTCCTAGAGGTGTACCCAGGCAGCATAATCTATTTTGAGTCACTTTAGTTTTATCACTTGGTGTAACAATTATTTGGTACTTGCTCTGTCATTTATAACAACATTTTTGTTACTTGACTGTATCTGTTTATATTATATTCAGGGAATTCTCTACAGGACATGCATCTATAAAAGGAATTTGATTAACTGCTGTGGTTTTCAGCATAGCAAATACTAGTAACAATAGTACAGTTGTAAATAGCACAGACTCTGAAAGGCAAACTACCTGAGTTTTAATCCTGGCTTTGGCACTTAATACTCTGAGACAACTTGCTTATGGACATCCATGTCCATCAGCTTCATCGATGAGCTACTTGAAAAATCCTCAGTTAATATTCATTAAAAAGCACCTGATATATAAACTCAATATAACCATTATTAAGCTGTTACAATTTTTATCCTTTAACTTTACCTAAGGATACTGAAGCTCAAAATCTAATAATTGTCAAAAGAGAACTACTAAGTTGTAAAGCCAGAAGACAAACACAAGCCTTCTAATAGAGTACATCATCTGACCATTTTATTCGATATTTTGAAAAATACTGAAATTTTATTCAGTTTTTAAAAGGTCTTCAGGATCATTTATGATTGGGGGGAGATGATGAATGAAATTAGAGAGAGGAAGAGAGACACTGATATATTCAAGAATTAAGAAAAGAAGGAATACTACAACAGATTAGAGTGCATGGATTTATGATCATACAAATGAGGGGGAAGTCAGATAAAATCCAACAGTTCCTTAAAATGTAAACTCTGTCCTAATAAAAAATACTGCACAATGTCTCCCCCCTATCTCTAGGTGAAAAACAGACACACTAATTTTATCAGGGTAGGAAATTAGTTTTTTTAAGAACACTATTTTTCAGAATATTTGTTAAATATTATCTTTCTCACTAATAATAAATACTTTGCTCACAGCTGATCTCTTCCTTTGGGTTCCTCTCCTACAGTAACAACCAACAACACACCTTGCACCAAAATAAATATCATTACTACTGACTGAAATTTTCTGGTATTGTATGTATATTTTGTGGAACTATGCCACAGAGTTAATTTTCTGAAAGTTTTACATTTTAAACTTAAAGTGAAGATTAAAAGGTAAGCACTGAAAAGGAATATATCAAGTATATGTCCAAAATGTATATTCAAGAACACATACTCACTTCTGTAACTTGAATCCTGTATTTCTATAGACTTCTATAAAACTGACCATAGTATCAAAAAAGGAGGGGAATGCCGGGGATTTAGTGTCGCTGCCTGCCTCACAAGTCCAAGGTCCTGAGTTGGATCCCCCGTACCAAAAAAGGAGGGGAGGACTCTCAGAAATAAATGAAGATTGCTCTAAGGACTCTGAAATAAGTATAAAGGACTAAATACAGGCTTAATACCCAAAAGGAATGTAGCTGTCAACCGAACTACCAATTCCAACTTCCAAAAATAATTCAAGTTCCAGGAACTTCAGAAGAAGAGTACAATTACCTAGGCCTTCAATCTATACATCCAAGTTGCTTGATAATGCTATGGGTTAACAACGTGGATTTTTCTCCCATTCCTTCAAATTCTTGCAATAGGCTAAATGTTTTGTATTCCACATTTCCACACAAAATCCAAATGCTAAGTTTGTTTTAAAAGTCAGCAGCAAGAGAACAGACATTCAGATGTACTCTCTCTCTTTCAAACCACCAGGTACTGAGCACATCACCATCTCCGTCTTAAAAGTGTCTAGATGTATTACCTGAAGACTATGGCATCAATATTACAATTTAATTTCTTAAACTTTTGTTGTGTAAAACCAAAAATTATTCTGGCCTAAGTTATCCTTTCATTTTATATAGCCTGATAATTGGCTACTAAATTCCCTCTGCTGGCTCTAATAAAGCTGCCTAACTAAGCCCCAATGCTGATATACTGCACTGGCTCACATAATCCTAACTTAAGCCCAATCTGAAGTTCTTATTTTTGAGGCTCATAAATTTTATCCCTTTACCAGGAACAAGCATAGATCAAACTTACTTGACTAAATGTTTATTCAGTTTCCTTCTTCTTACCCTACTTTCTTTTCCCTGATTTACCCTGCAAACACTTTCTGGTATCCATTATAAGCTGTGAAAAAAACTAACAGTGGCGATAAAAATTATTTTTTTTCTGCCCTTAAGGAGAGATTAATCCAGTAGAGAAGATAAATATTCCATAAAGTGTGGAAAAAGTCTATTTTAAGAATTCTACAAAAACACAATTGAAAAGATGAGTAAAGACTTCACAAAGCAGTAAACACCTGAAATAGGTCTTGGAGAACATCAGGGCAGGGTGTGTGTATGTGTTTTAGTTGAAATGCTGGAATTACAGAGAAGGGGGGAAAGCTGAAGAGTAAAGTTAATGTCTTATGGTAGCTGAAGTGTTGTGCTGGCTTAAAATGTTATAATATATAACTGAAGGTATCAGCAGGAGATCCTTTTTACTTTCATTCTTGCAAATTACTTTTAACCATGAATTTACAAGGAAGAATTATCTTGGGGGGTAAGTACTGGGGATTGAACTCAGAACCTTGCACTTGCGAGGCAGATGGCCACACCACTGAGCTAAATCCCCAGCCCAAGGAAGAATTATCTTATTCTCACCCACTACACGCAGATTTTGTGTCTAAACTATTACATGGATAAAAGTAGGGAAAAGGATTTTGAGGACAATGAGAAACAAAGCTCAAGAAAGATGATCTACAGTGGTGGGAAGCAGTTATGATATAAATGAGTCATCAAAATTGTGGGTACAGAGAAAAGAGTAACGAATTAAAACTCAAGAGAGCTAGAAGCAAATCACAGATAACAATGTGCTCTAGTTATGACAAAACCTTTTATTTAATTCACATCTCAGAGTTAGGGTCAAATGAAAAATAGGTCTGAAAGGTCCTTTAAAAAGTAGAAAATGCTATCCAAATATAATTTTACCATTCTTGTAGTTATGTTTGCTAAATGGGAAATGAACTTTCAAAATCTACATTTCTGACATATTCAACCTGTTATATGAAATTTATGAAAAAGAGGTTTTTACCCTTTCTACAGATCGTGCCCTCTTCTTTGGGCGAGTAGGCAATGCATCTTCCTTCGGATTGGTGTCTATTGCCCAATAGGATCCCTAAAGGTAAAGAAATAAATTAATTATATTGACAACATATTATAGTAGCCCTATAACATTATAAGTTTTTTAATAATTTCTTGCTCCAAAAGTGGACATTTTGCAAGTAGAATGGAAAAGCAGCAAACAAAAAAGTAACATGAAAAGAAATGCTGATTTTGAAAATAGAAAAGTAAAGTATATGTAAGAAAAAAAGATCTATATTATAACTAAATTATTAAAGAGAAAAAAGCCAGGAAATATAGCAAGAATCAAAACCTAGGATTATATCAAATTAAAAAGCTTCTGCACAGCAAAGGAAACAAGAGTGAGGCAACTGCCTGCTAGATGGGAGACCATCTTTGATAGCTACTCATCCAACAAGGATGAATATACAGGATACATAAACAACTGAAAAACTTCACATCATAACAACAAATAACCCAACCCATAATAGGTAACTGAACAATACACCTCTCAAAAGAAGTACACATGGGCAGTAAGTATATAAAAAATGTTTAACATTTTTAGCCATCAAGGAAATGCACATCAAGACTATACTGAGATTCTATATTACCCCACTCAGAATGGGGTGATCATCAAGATTGAAAAAAAAAAAGCCAAACGTGGTGCTGCATGGCTGCAATGCCAGCACAGTGGGAAGCTGAAGCAGGAGAATTTCAAGTTCAAGTCCAGCCTAAGCATCTTAGCAAGACCCTGTCTCAAAATAAAAAAAGGGCTGAGCCATTTAGCTCAGTGGTTTCACCGCCTGCTATGCAAGCGCAAGGACCCGAGTTCGATCCCCGGTACCAAAAAAGAAATAAAATTAAAAAATAAAAAAGGGCTGGGGAATGACACTCAGTGCAAAGGCCCTGAGTTCAATAACCAATCTTGCAATGAATGAATGAATGCTAGCAAGAAAAAAAGAAACTCTCATACACTTGTTAGTATAAATATAAATTAGTACAGCCATTATGGAAATCAGTATGGAATAAAAATAAAGCTACCATTTTATCCAGCTATATCACTTCTCAAAGTAAAATACCACAGAGCTACCTGCATACTCATGTTTATTGTGGTACAATTCATAATGGCTAAGCCATGGAAATACTCTAGCTGCCCATCAGTGGAAGAAAGGATAAAGAAAATGTGTCATACAAATAACAGAATCACTGACAGAGAAATTAGGGAAACAATTCCTTTTGCAATAGCATTCCAAAAAATTGAAATATCTAGGAATCAATCTAACAAAGGAAGCAAAAGAAATCTACACTGAAAACCACAGCCCTCTGAAAAAAGACACTGAAGAGGATATAAGAAAACAGAAAGACATCCCTTGCTCCTGGGTAGGAAGAACCAATATAGTGAAAATGGCCATACTTCCAAAACTACTATATAGATTTAATGCAATACCAATTGAAATTCCAACAATATACTTCAAAGAATTACAGAAAACAATCCAAAAATTCATTTGGAACCAGAAGAGATCTAGAATAGCAAAACCAATTCCAGACAACAGAGACATGGCAGAGGGTATCACTATCCTCAACTTGAAATTATACTACAAAGCTACTGTGATAAAAACAGCACAGTATTGGCAAAAGAACAGACCTGAGGATCAGTGGAATAGATTAGAGGATACAGAAACAACTCCAGACATACTCAGCCACCTCATCTTTGACAAAGGAGCCAACCACCATCATTGGAGGAAAGATAGCCTGTTTAATAAATGGTGTTGGAAAAACTGGATTTCAACCTGCCAAAGATTAAAACTAGACCCATACCTATCACCATGCACTAAACTAAGATCAAAGTGGATTAAAGATCTAAATATTAAAACAGAAACACTAAACTTGCTGGAAGGTAAGTTAGGTAGAACTCTTGAAGACACTGGCATAGGAAAAGACTTTATGAACAAAACCTCAGTAGCAAGGGAACTAGCACAAAGAATCAACAACCGGGATCTCATCTTATTAAAAAGCTTCTTCTGTACTGCAAAAGAAACCACCAACAGAGCTAAGAGACAACCTACAATGTGGGAAAAAAATTTTAGCAGCTGTACCTCAGACAAAGGACTACTATATGGAATATATAAAATCTGAGAAAATCAGACCCCCCCAAACTCAAAGACCCAATTCAAAAATGGGCATCTGAAATGAACAAACATTTCTCAGACAAAGAAGTAAAAGCAGAAAATAAATATATGAAAAAATGTTCATCATCACTGGTCATTCGAGAGATGCAGATGAAAACAACACTGAGATTCCACCTCACCCCAGGATTGGCTGCTATCAAGAAATCAACCAATAACAAATGCTGGTGGAGGCGTGGGGAGAAAGGAACCCTTCTCCATTGTTGGTGGCAGTGCAGGCTGGTGCAACCACAGTGGAAATCAGTATGGAGACACCTCAAAGAACTAGGACTAGAGGTCCTACTTTACCAGCTATTCCCCTGCTAGGTATCTTCCCAAAAGAATTAAAAGAATCATACCACAATGATATATGTGTACCCATGTCTATAGCGGCACAGTTTGTAATAGCTAAAGCTTGGAAACAGCCCAACTGCCCATCAACTGGAAACTGGATGAAGAAGATGTGGTTGTTTTATAAAATGGAGTACTACTCAGCCATAAGGAACGAGAAACTGGAGACATTTATAGCTAAATGGATTCATGTTGAGGTCATACTGTTAAGTGAAATAAATAGGACACACGTGTAAATACCAAATAGTTTCTCTGGTGTGAGAAAATGAAAGTATAAATAAGGATTAAAATGACTGAAATGAGTAACTGATAATTTGAATAGGAAGAAAAGGTCCAAAACAGTAGGGGAGTGGGATGGGAAGGGCAAAGGCAAGAAGGGAAAGGAAAAATAATGAGAAAAAGAAAAAATGGAGACAAAGTCTTTGTAAATAGTGAAGGAGGGGAGGTGAAGGGAGGACAGGGAATGGGGAAAAAATAAGAATGAAGATCCATCATGTACAGGTACAAGTACCCAATGATAAATGTAAACATACTGTATACCTAAAATGTACCAGTACAAGAATTTAAGCAAAAAAACAAACAAACAAACAAAAATGCCTATTTCAAGATGGCAAATATGTTCTGCAATGTTTTCGTTTAGAAGTTTTATAGGATCAACTTTTGGTTTAGGTGTTGGATTCATTTAAAGGACCAATATTACGGGGTTTTTTCTTCTACTTAGGTACACAGTACCAATCTTGAAAAGATTATCCTTTCCCTGTTGAATCACAGTAATATCTCTGTCAAAATCAGCTCAATATATATGTGAGCCTATTTCTGACTGATCTACACTACATATCTATCCTTATTCTAATGCCATTTTATTGTGATTTTTATAGTGGTATAAAAATTTGAAATTAAGTAGTTTATATTGCACAACTATATTTTTAAATTGTCCTTTGCATGTCCATAAAAACAGAAGAAATAGCTTGTGAATTTCTGAAAAAAGAAGCTTGCTATGATTTTTTAAATGAGATTAACATTAACTGTTTAAATCAATTTAGGGATGCTTGACATCAACAATGAGTCCGTTGCTCTACAAACATGCTTTATCTCTACATTTATTTAGGTCTTCCTTTATTTCCTTGGTGATACTTTATAGTTTTCAGTGAACAGGTTTGAATTTATTTTTAAAAATGTGTCCCTGAAGTATTTCATTATTTTGGAAGCTTTAGAAAATTAAAGTGCTTTTTTGTTCATTTTCCAATTGTTCCTTGCTAATATGGAAAAAATTATTTTGACTGTTTATCTTGTCGCCTTGCTAAACTCACTTATTAGTTTTTCAAAGATTGTTTGGGATTTTCTACATATGCAATAATGTTATTTGCAAATAAGAATTTTACTTTTTAAAACTTGGATGAATTTTTTTTCTTGCATTACGCCATTGGATGGGATATTTAAAAGAATGCTAATAAAAGTGCTTGAATGTAAACATCCTTGCTTTGTTAATCTGAGAGAGAAAACATTTACTACATTAATGACAGAAATTGTACATTTTTCATAGATGCCTTTAATGGAGAAAATTCCTTTTATTCTTACTTTGCTACACATTAAAATTTGCCCAAAATTGTTTTCTACAACTGAGATGATAGAACTCCTTAACTTTTTATTTACTTACACGGTGAATTATACCAACTGGTTTTTTGTTTTGTTTTGTTCTTTGTTTTTTGCTTTTTGGTATGAACTCAGGACCTTGCGCTTGCGAGACAGGCAATGGCACCACTGAGCTAAATCCCTGGCCCACCGTTTTTTTAATTTTAACCTGCACTGCATTCCTAAGATAAATTCCATTTGGTCATTAATTTTCTCATTGTTTTCACAGTATTTATTCAATTGGATAGTTTTTTGTTAAGGATTTAGGAATCTGTTTTGATAAAGAATACTGAGTATGCTTTTCTTGTCACTTCTTTACCTGACTTTAGTATGATGGATGATGCTAACTTTATGAAATAAGTGGAAACTGTTCCTTTCATTGGTTGTGCGTGTGTGTGTGTGTGTGTGTGTGTGTCAGACTGAAACTGCTTTTTCCTTAAATGTTTCAGCTTCTGATTTCACTGCTTTTTCGTTATTCATTTTCTACTTTACTGATTAATTATTTCTTTCTTTCTACTCACTGTGGACTTCAATTTCTTACTTTTGCTAATTTCCTATGGTATATGCTTAAGTAACTAATTTTAGATCCTTACTATTCTCATAAAAGTACATAAAGCAATAAGCTTCTTTCTAAAACACTGCTTTAGCTGTGACTCATAAATTTTCATAAGCTCTACTCAATATGATTTAGTGCAAAATACTTTCTAATATCTTTTATAATTTCTTCTTAGATCCAGAAGTAATTTATAAATACAGTATTTAATTTTTTAAGTATATGGGGGTTTCTAAATTTCTTCTTGTTACTAATTTAATTATGACGGAGAACTTTAAGATTTCACCTTTTAGCAATCTACTAAAACTTGTCTGGTATATTGTCTAGCTTGGTGAACATACCTTGTGCTTAAGA